CTGCAGAATCTGCTTCTCCTGCTCCTGCAGCTCCACAAGCTTCTCCTCCAGAGCCCTGATGGCCTGTGGATCGGCATTTCTGGTAACCTTGAGGGCATCCAATTGACCCTGCAGAATCTGCTTCTCCTGCTCCTGCAGCTCTACAAGCTTCTCTTCTTCTGCCTCAATAACGTGCGGGTCAAGAGTAGTGTTCTTGTTCTCTTGCAATACAACGCCTGATTCGCTTGCATATGGAGGCTGACCTGACCAATTTTCAGTTTGCGTAAAAAATGAAGGTTTGTCCTGTTCAGAAGGAAGGTGTTCTTCGTATTGCACATGATTTATAGAAGTGGTGGCGACTTCATCATCGGAGGTTACGCTGACTTGTCCTTCGGAAGCGTCTATAGGGGTTTGGGGGCTAAGTCGAATGTCAAACTCATTATCTAGTTTCCCACGTGCAGCAAGCTGTTCTTTCTCCTGAATATCACGTTGTTTGACAATGGCATTGCGTCGGTGTTCTTCTGCCGTTTCTATGATCTTTCTCTCTTGTTCTTCTTTATCTAAAGATGCAAGAATACTTCGTTTAATCTCATCAGCAAGAGGAAAAAAGTGGGAATGTGGTAATGGTTCTTCCCCTATTTTTTGCCCCTTTGTTTGCTGAAGTTGTTGTTCTTCTTCTTCTTCAACTGTATGAATCTGCAGTGGTGGTGGAGGTGCAAAGGGTAACGGTGGTGCAAGATACTTGTGTTCCTTAGGGGGTAGTGGGACACTCCGTGAACGTTCTGCTGTAGTACGGCGTCGCGGCGAAGAGGTACCTCTAATGGTGTATAGACCAACCATTTCAGGTTTCTCCTTCTCTACAGCAATTGCCGTATCCTTCTCGCGTTGGCGCTTTACATACTCTGGGTCCGCCGGTAACCGCTCAACCGCATCATGCGTTAATGGAGATGTTTCTTCAGCTGCCGCCGTTAACGAGACAGATGTACGAACATTTTCATCAAACGGAGGAACAATGGATGTTGTAGGGTCAGGCGGAAACTGCACAGAGGAAGATCGCTTCTTGCTGCGATCTGCCGGTGCCATTGAACTCTTTTGTGGGAGAAAATTACGTGGCAGAGCCGATGATGATCGCCGGGTAGCATGAGATAGAGTTGAAGAGACACCATCGTCAATCGGCACACGTGAGGTGTAATGACCGTTGCGTTTCATACCGCTCTGCGCGAGACGCGATACGGAGTGACATGTTGGACAGCGAATATAACGACCCGCATTATCACAGTTCACGAGGGCACAAGGCTGACAAACATAATGACGACAGTCAACGAGAGAAAAAAAGACAAAAACGGGGGCGAGTGGATCACCAGGCGGTGGTGTTGTTCTCCTTTTGCAGAAGACACAGGTGTCGCGGTCCTTCGTAAAACCATACTGCTGCGCAGATGCGATAGAAATATTATCTGAAGTGAGTCCTGCCATTAATAAATAGGGGACAACGAAGAAGCAGGAAAAAAAAATCCAAGGAAATGATGTGC